GCTCCTGGTCGGCACTGAAAGGTTCACATGGATGCTGCTAAGAGGGTACTGCGCTACTTGTACAGTACATCGGGCATGGGGCTCGTGCTTGGAGGACGGGGCGACGTTGTCCTCACTGGGCACTCAGACGCTTCTTGGGTTGACGACCAGGCTACGCAGCGGTCGTCACAGGGTTACACCTTCAGCCTTGGCTCTGGTTCGGTTTCTTGGCGTTCTACACGCTCGTCTTCAGTTCTCAGCTCCAGTTGTGAGGCTGAGATCTACGCCACAGCCATGGCTGCACAGGAGTTACGCTGGCTCACCTACCTGCTGACCGACTTGGGAGAGCGGCCTCGTTCTCCTCCAGTGCTGTACGTCGACAACAAGGCCGCCATTGCCTTGTGTCAGGAGCACAGACTGGAGCACAGAACGAAGCACATCGCTCCGCGTTACTTCCTGGCTCGAGAGTTGCAGCAGCGTGGTCAGCTTCGTCTTGCTCACGTGGCCACTCGGGCCAACACTGCTGATATCTTCACCAAGGCGCTTCCGTCTGGTGATCATCAGCGTTTCTGCACTCTGTTAGGCCTTGTGCCCACGTTTCCTCACTTGCTGTAGACTTTGCTTGTACTGTGATCTATATATACCTGCATGCTTGCTCTGCTAGGTAGAGATCACTGTGCTGTTGTTGTTGCATATATACCCCTGCATGTGAACTGGCCTTGTGGCCCTTTGCTTGTGCTCAGTGTGTGTGGTGACGTTGTGATCCACCCTGAGCTTGCTTTGCTTCTCTTGACTGGTCTTGTGACCCCTTGCTCTCCCCCACTTTGCCTATGGGGGTGTGTCAAAGCATATGCTTGTTATATATGTGTAGGCTGTAGTGGGGTAGCCAATATGGGGTACAGCCCCTTTTAGGGTTTCATACTTGTACCCAACTCTTTCATAGTTCAATCACCAGCTGAACCTCTAGCCACGTGTCTCTCGGCCAGAGGTTTCACCGACTAGTCTTTGGACCGGGTCCCCTGGTGTTGCGTCGCGGTTTCGTGTCTGGGGTTGCTTGGCTCTTGTTCGCGACACCTCCACGGGCAAGATCTCGCCTCGCGCCAATCCCTGTGTCTTCCTTGGTTTCCCAGAGGACTCCTCTGGCTTCACCTTTTACCACCCTCCCCTTCACCGGTTCTTTGACTCCCGTGACGTCAGTTTCGACGAGTCCGTCCCCTACTACGTCAGGTACCCTTGCCGAGGTCTCCCGGTTCCTCCTCCCCCTCTCTTCCTGACTTCCGCTCCCCCTTCTGCTCCCCCGGTACAGCCTCCCCCCCCTGGTCCAGCCCCGTCAGGTGTGTCCCACGCTACCCCTCCCCCTTCGGTAGCCCCTCAGGTACAGCCTCCTTCCCCGCAGTCCTCCTCGCAGCCTGCGGCAGACCCTGCGGGAGCCGGTGTTCGTGGCGAGGACCCTGTCGGTGCTAGCTCTGGGGGTGCTGGAGTTGGGGCTGAGCCCGAGGCTGCAGGAGACTCTCGTCTTCAGGGAGCTGGTGTAGGTGGTGCTGACTCTGGGGGTGCTACGTCTGGGGGTGCGGGTGCGCCCCCTTCGGGTCCTTGTGAGCCTGGCCGTGTTGCTGTTGGTGGTCCTGCCTCTGGGGGTGGTGCGCCGGGTGCTTTGGAGGGTGGTCCTGGGGCTGCCGCGGCCCCGGACACTACTCCTCCCCCCCACCCCTACCCGACCCGGCACCAGGCTCGTGTTCGCCGTGCCCGTGAGGAGCAGCTGGAGTTAGAGAGAGAGGAGAGAGAGTTGCAGCGGCTGGAGGTGGAGCAGCAGCAGCAGCAACGGCTGGAGGAGGAGCAGCAGCAGCAGCAGCAGCCGCGGGAGCAGCAGCAGCAGTCGCAGCTGTCGCAGCCGCACCAGGAGCAGCAGCCGCAGCCACCTCCTCCTCCTGTCTCTGGTCTTCGGACCCTCGGTCTCCCCTCTCCCTCTCCTTCCTCCTCCCCCTCTCCTCGTGTCTACGGTCCCACGTTTCCTCCTCTTGACTCCTCCCCAGCTGTTCTCCCTCGTTCTCCGACTCCGTTGTCTCCCCCTCCTTTGCCCTCCTGGCCCTCTCGTCGCTCTCCTCGTGCTCATCCCTCGTCCCCTGTCCCTCTCACTGACCTTCGTACTGCCCTGTTCCGTCCTAGTCCGCCTCGTTCGTCTCAGTCTGTGTTTCCTTCTCCTCCTGAGTCGGCCTTCACTGCGTCCCTCTCTACTCCTGTCACTGACTACTACCGCACGTACCGACCTGTTCTCCCTCGTGTTCTCGCCTCTCTTGTTACGGACCCTCGTGCCTCTCTGTCCTCTGTCTCCGCCCTTACTGTCGCCGTCACTGAGTTCGCCACTACTCGCCGCCTTGACTACGCCACTTGTCTCGTGGCTGCTCCTCCTACCTGTCCTCTGGCCGTCGGGGGTGTGTCTGCCCTTGGCTATGACGCCCTAGAGGACAGGCAGTTAGAGCTGGAGTTCCTGGCAGCCGCTTCCCCTCATCTCTGTGCCATGCTGCTCGCCCCTGAGGGAGACCCCGACGCCCTTGACATACCGACTCCTCGCACTTACGCTGAGGCAGTGTCAGGGCCTTGGGCCTCTCAGTGGAGAGCTGCCATGGACGCAGAGATGGCCTCCTACAGATCCACAGGCACCTACGTCGACGAGGTTCCCCCCCCTGGGGCGAACGTAGTCGATGGCATGTGGATCTACAGGGTGAAGCGGCCACCGGGATCTCCTCCGGTCTTCAAGGCGCGCTATGTGGCTAGAGGTTTTAGTCAGCGCGAGGGTGTTGACTTCTTTCAAACCTTCGCGCCTACCCTGAAGATGACCACTCTTCGGGTGTTACTACACGTAGCAGCACAGAGAGACTACGAGTTACACTCTCTCGACTTCTCCACTGCTTTCCTTCAGGGTAGCCTTCACGAGGAGGTCTGGCTGCGTCGTCCCTCTGCCTTCACTGGCACTTTCCCTCCTAGGACCCAGTGGAGGCTGAGGCGACCTGTCTACGGTCTCCGTCAGGCTCCTCGTGAGTGGCACGACACCCTTCGTTCTACCCTCTCTGACCTTGGTTTCCAGCCGTCTTCTGCCGACCCGTCGCTGTTCGTGCGTCGTGGCTCCACACCTTTCTTTGTTCTGGTCTACGTCGATGACCTGGTTTTCGCCACTGCTGACAGGGTTGCCTTGGCAGACGTGAAGTCCGAACTGCAGAAGAGACACACGTGCACTGACCTTGGTGAGCTGCGCCACTACTTTGGCCTGCAGATCACCAGGGACAGAGCTGCTCGCACCATTACACTCTCACAGTCACACATGGTGCAGCAGGTTCTTCAGCGGTTCGAGCTTCAGCACTCCACAGTACAGGGCACACCTCTTGCTGTTGACCACAGACTTACTGGACCCTTTCCTGACGAGCCGTTTGAGTCTAATGGTCCCTACGCAGAGCTGGTGGGCTGCCTCATGTACCTGATGACTTGTACTCGCTCGGACCTCGCCTTCCCTCTCAGCATCCTTGCTCGCTTTGTTGCGCCAGGGAAACACCGTCCTGTTCACTGGACGGCAGCTGTGAGGGTGGCGAAGTACCTAGCGACGACATCAGGCGTGGGGCTAGTTCTTGGAGGGCAGCAGTCTGTCGTACTTACTGGTCACTGTGACTCTTCTTACGCTGACGACGCTGAGACTCACAGGTCTATTCAGGGGTACTGTTTCAGCTTGGGTTCTGGAGCTGTTTCGTGGAGGTCCACGCGCTCCTCTTCGGTCTCGACCTCTACTGCTGAGGCTGAGATCTACGCTGGTGCCATGGCGGCACAGGAGCTGCGTTGGTTGACCTTCTTACTCGCCGACCTTGGTGAGCGGCCGAGCTCTGCACCGACCTTGTTCACTGACAACAAGGCGTCGATTCTGCTCTGTCGAGAGCCGCGACTGGAGAGCAGAGTGAAGCACATTAACGTCAGGTACTTTCTTCTGCGGGAGTTGCAGAGACGTGGACAGGCTCGCTTCGAGTTTGTGGAGTCCGAGGCCAACACTGCAGACATCTTCACCAAGGCGCTTCCGCCTTGTGACCACCAGAGGTGTTGTGTGCAGTTAGGTCTTGTTGACACAGGTTCTAGTCGTGTGTAGGCTTGAGTTTACCGTTTGCTTTGCTTATACTCTTGCCATACACCTTTGTGAACTCTTGGACTGGCCTTGTGGCCCCTGTTGCTCGTGCTCAGATTGTGTGGTGACGTTGTGATCCACCCTGAGCTTTGTTTCTTTGTGACTGGTCTTGTGACCGTACACTTTTGGTTTTGCTTGACACCCGTCACTTAGGCTATGGGGGTGTGTCAAATGTTGTAGCCTGTAGTGAGGTTTGTCTTAGGGGGTACAAATGTTAGGGTTTGCTATATGTACCCCAACCCTCATCAATAACATAACACTTTCATTCTTGACAATACGGTACCCAAGATCCAAGAGCATTCACTTATCATGGGCCTGCTTCAATGTCCATTGTCCAGATGACACAAGGTTGGAAGCACATGACCAGATTACTGGGTTCAAGTAAGTTGAAGGATTTTCTATGCTTGTTAAATTGATGTCACATGTCCTAACAGCAAATCAAACTAGTGTGTGTGCCCCCTGGTAGCTATACCATCTCCCAATATCTGTCACAAAAACGAGGCCAACCATGACCTAGGTCCAGTTGTCTATGATGTATGGTACCACAAGCAGATACGGAACCTGCAGTGTGGAAGCGAACACATAACAAACCACAACGCTCAAGACTGCATAGTGTCCTTCTTGGCGTTGTACTGGTCAAGCTCTGCATCAAGCTCCTCCTGCGTCTTGGGTGTCTCCGACTTCCTCCCTCTGCCTCTCCCTCGGCCCCTGCCTCGTGCACCTCCCCTCCCACCCCGACCACGACCACCAAACCCACCACCCCTGGTGAACAAGCAGCAAGACACAACAAGGGAGGCGTCAGCCAACTTCCATAGCCAGAACAGATGATACTGAGAAACAAACAAAAATCAAGGAACGCTTACCATGCAGGAAAGCCAAACGGCGCAACAATAGCTGGTGCAACTGCCACCCTCGCGACAGCCGGAACAGCTGGCGCAACGGTGGAACCGATCAGCTCAATTTTCATAGGTTTTCCGTCTAGCTGAACGTTGTTGTACCGGGTCATGGCTGCCAAAGCATCCGCTTTCCGTGCGAACACAACTTCCGCTGTACCCTGTGAGGTAACAAACAATAGGGACGTCAGCACTGATAACGTTAAGAACCGTATAACGCAAAAGCGGTAGAAAGAAAACATGTGCCTACCTTGGATCGGCCGCTTCTGTCATAGTGAACCGAGAAGCGCTTGAGCTCTCCAATCTCCGAAAAGAGTTCCTGCAACAAAAAAACAGTGTATTTGAGTTCGGCCACTGAATCTTGAGAAAAATAAGACATGACAATACTTAATTCGCACCTTAACATCGTCGTTCGACACGCCGTAGTCCAAATTCGACACATAGAGCTTCGTCCCTGTCTCGATGCCTTGTCCTGCGGCACGACCGGCTGCCGGAACAGCAACAGCGCCAGCATCGTACATGTCGTGTTGCCAGGCACGGTCGGTTACCATACCAGCAGGCTGGCGAGAAAAACAAGAAACAAAAAACGTGTGAACAAGAGCTCGTGCAGAGCTGTGCATGCAAGTGCCTGCTCCAAACCAACGTACTATTGCTGCATACTTGAACTACTGCTACATACTCCACGTGCACAGCTTAGAGATAGTCAACAGCGTAATATAAGAAATGATGTGGTCAGTTGTCACCAACATGTGTTCGAGGTAAAACAGGAGCCACGTCAGGCGTTCCCGAAAACCAGGAGCTGAGCGACAGAGGGTTGGACGATTCCACGACAACCGATCCCACCAAACGGCTCTCCGTAAGCCGCTCATCGTGGAAAAATCACACCCCTTGAACGGCATCGACGAATTCTAACAATCTCCTGGACGATTCTTCCCAGCGAGGACGAGAGATGAAGCGGAGAAAGCCTTGAAGAATAAGGTGTTCTGAAAAGCCTTCCTGGCTCTCAACAGAGAAACCAGGGATGGGATTTGGATGGCGAGATAGAAGATCCGCTTGCCTGGCCATATGGTGTTGATCGAAATCCGCCTCGTCCAGATCTGCGAACAGGACCATAGCCCCTGCCAGATCCGGATCCGCGTCCCCCTCGGCCGCCGCCGCGACCAGACGACTTCTTAGACTTGATGATATCGTCGAGGGACTGATCAAGCTCGGAAGCCATGATGACGCAACTGTGAGCAGCACACGTCAGAAGACGGCGCGAGGAATATTACAGATCTCCACCGATGGAGATTGCGAGTAGAAGCGGAAGCAGAGGCAGGCGACGGACCAGGCACAACGGCTACAATTCTCAGATCTGCAGATGTAGGAAAAGGAAACCTGGTTGCAGATGTAGGAAACGGAAACCTGGTTGCAGATGTGGTACTGGCAGGCAGCAGCAGTTTTGACAACCTAGGCTTGCCAGGTTGGTGGACAGAGATGTGGTTGTTGCTTGGGAGATGGAATGGAAGTGAGGCCAGTGCCGTCGTGGAAGATGGAAGACAAGCTAGAGGCGTGGCGTATTTCTGTCACCAAACCCTCGTTTTCCCGCTTTATGAAGTCAGAAAATTGACGGACCTCCGGCAATAACCAGGGAGCAAGCAAAACGAATCGACGGTTGGAAATGAGCAGCTCAGATGTAATGAATATACAATTCATTACTGCTGGAGCTGCCCTTAGCGAGGACAGCCCCGAACACTACGCGTGAGTTTCCGGTTCGGCCTACATTTCGGCCCCAACCACTGCCGAGTCGCCCCGCACCAATCGCGACACATCCAACCCACCCATTACAAACTCTGCATCGCTATGGCTCCAGAAGGAAAAGCCACTGCAGATTCTCCGGGCCCACCACCAACAACACCTTCTGCACCATCAGCGGTGACCTCCGTCAGCGCCGCTTGCGTTGAGCAGCTGGTCGCCCGCATCAACGCTTTTGAGAGCCATCACGCCATGAGCATCGATGACTCAAGCTACGCAAGTGGAGTTGCTGGACTCCCTCTCCCTGGAGAAGACCGCCGCGTCAACTCCGAGAGGTCTTTTACATTTGACAACCGTCAACATTCATCTCCTGCGCAAGACAGTCAACATCGCGCACAGTCAGATACAATCGCAACAATGCAAACAAATTTCGTTCTGACTTCAAAGCTGAAGACATCAGTTCCCTTTGACGGAAAGGACTTCTACACGTGGAGCTTCGAGTTCGAGCTCCTCGCGACAACTGCGCAAGTATGGATGTACTATGATGGAAGCTTACCGTTCCCGACGGAAGGCACCATCCAAGAGAAGAACCGGTATTACGTACACCACTCTTCTCCGAAACCTCTCCCCTTCCGAGCAGCTTGGCATTCGCTCCTACAAGTCAGAATGGGCACCCATGTACGCCTCTTGGGAGCACATGCGCCACTCATACATGGCAACAGATCCCATCACAATGAGTCGCCTACTCAGCCAACTTACATCGGCCAAAATGCAAGAAGGGGAGAAAGTGGGACCGTATATCAATCGGTGCCGCAATCTATGCGACCACATTAAGAAGTGCGGCGGAACCGTTCCCGACGACATGTTAGTCTCCATGGTTCTCTCCGGCCTTGGACCCGATTGGCGACAATGTCAATCATTGCTCCGTGCTCGAGCAACCATCTCCGAGTCCGCTCTGTGCGCCACGCTTCTCTCCAAGCAGAAGGAGATTGATCTGTACAATGAGAAAACAGCAAGCGGGAGAAGTTAGTCTTCTACGCTGGAGCGATTGAAGGGGAGCAACATGGCAAGAAATGAACTTGATGCAAATACTGCAAGAAGCCCGGACACACTATCGATCGGTGCTACAAGCGTAAAGCAGCTGATGAAAAACGCAACAGCTCCTCTAATCAGCAGTCATCAGCACCCTCGGCTTCTTCTGCTGTGACATCAACCGTGTCACCGCCTTCCGTTGCGAGCACTTCCCAAACTCCTGCTGCCATCATAGTCAAGGACAAGGGAAAGGGGTCAGTCATGAGCTGCATGGCGCGCCGTCGCAGAGGCATTCGATACTACGACGGCACAGAATTTCCACCCATCACGCCTATCAACCCCATTACGCCCAGTCCAGACAACGAAGCTGGATTGATCGCCCCAGCAACATCCCACCTGATTTCGAGTTGCCTCCTCCAACCCCGGGGTCTCCCCCCAACATCTCCGCAAGGCGATACATCGACCTCTCGCCGTACACCGGAGACATCGACCGCGTTATCACTCCGAAGATCGCTGGGATCGCACGACGCAACCGTGAAAGCATTAACACCTGGTACATTGACAGCTGCTGCGGGCAACACATGGTGGGATCACCAACATTCATAAAAAATTCAAGGCACATGTGGCGACCGTGTGAAAGCACCGTCGCTAACAACGAGCGCCTCAAGGCTTACGACATCGGAGAAGTCTGCCTCGAGGCCGAAGATACTCACTTCACAATTCATATCGGCGACGTGTTAGTTGTTCCTGATCTCCAATACAACCTGCTTTCTTCAGCCCAGCTCATGCGGTGCGGAGTCGACATTCGAAGCAACTGCCACGACAAGACCTTTGAGCTCTATTATAAAAACACTTACATCGGCAAGGCTGACGATGATGACGGGTCTTTGTGTTAAACTTCTCGGCTCAAGGCACCACTGGCGACTCAGATCAGACTCTTCTTCTGAAGACCACTCCCACAAAGCCGTTGTCCTGGTCACATCCTGAGGAGATGGATCTTGAGCGGCCCGCCTCTGATGGTCTTCTGCGACTGCGCAACGTCCCAACAGCGTCAACTTCAAATCCAGGAGATGCCGGACCTGCAACCATGGAATAAGAAGAGGGCAGTGGGAAATCAGCAAGTGCAGAACCAATCGCCGAAGAAAACACAACAGTTACAGTGACTAGCTGGGGTAGTCCTGGTCCCACAGTCGGCCCTTGGGGGGAAGTTCTAACGCCAGAAGAAGCTGCCGCATGCGGATGGGAAGGTGTCTCAGCACCGGAAGTAGGTGGCACCACTGCTACAACAGAGGCTGGCGCTACCACCGAAGGCGGCCGGGGCACCGAAGGTGGCTGGGGAACCGGAGGCGGCTGGGGAGCTTCAACAACCGAAGGAGGATGGGGACAAGCAGCTCCCACCTATCCCGAAGCTCCGGGACTCCCTCCTGCGGATGTCGCGGCGGTCGATCCATACTGGGCGACGCGTGGCACCAGCTGGAGCGGACCTCCTCTCCTGGATTAGTATGCTCCTGACACACCAGAACCAGTACAAGAGGAGTCAGAGGAAGAGGTAACGAATGAGTTCTTCGAGGGAGCAGCGGAACTACCGAAACCTACCGAGGAGCCGCCGCCGCCAGAACAAGGACCACAACAGATTGAAATCATCGGCGCCGAGTACAGTTACTTCCGAATCCCCATGAAAAAACTTCCCATCGCCGACTGGCCCAAAGCGCCACCATCTCAGCACCTGCTTGTTACCGGCGACCAAGTTCACGCCGGCGACATCATCGGAATTCCCCGCGCGCTTTTGGAACGAGACTCCATTCGGGCCTTCGCAACTGACACCGACGCCGCCGCCGACACAGGACCTGGAAAGGTGCAGAACGACGCAGCAGAGAGAACCAAATATTATCAGAAGACTGTCGGCTACCGTGCGGAACCAGAAAATGGCATCAGCGGCTCGGCCACCCTTCACACGCCACGCTAAAGAATTCTCTCAAGGCTGGAGTCTTTGACGACGACGCGCTACTTCTTTCTCGAGGAGGCTCCCTGACGGCAGACTCAGCTGACCCACCGTGCACCGTATGCCCAACTGCATCACTCGCCCACAAACCCTTCCTCGACTTACCCCCTAGCTACGAACACTACAAGCCGCTCGACAAAGTCTATAGCGACTTCATGGTTCTCAGCCAACAAGGGCTCGACGGCGAGTACTACACGCTTACCTTCATCGACGCATGCACACGCCACGTCTGGGCCATAAACACCGATTGCCGCTCTCTTGCCTTCGAGTGCTTCGTGGCCTGGATGAAACGAGCCGAACGTCAGTCTGGACTGAAGCTGAAAACCTACCAGACAGACGGGGGCTTGGAGTTTTTCTCCACTGAGTTCAAAGAGCTCTTCAAACAGAAGGGAACTGAGCACCTGGTGTCCCTGCCCTAAGCTCACGAACAGCAAGGAGTAGCAGAACGGACAAATAGGAGCCTCGCCATAAGGATGAGGGCTCCGATGAAGTAGTCGGCCGTGCCAACCAAGTACTGGCCATTTGCGATGAACCACGCTGTCCGGCTGCACAACTTGCTGTCGTCCCGAAGCCTCGAGAACAACAACTCTCCCTACAGGGCTTGGACGGGAAGAAAGGCAGACACGCGTCTTCTTCGGGTGTTTGGCTGCATGGTACAGTACAGGCCACACACAGCAAGAACAGGAAAATTCGCTGACCGAGCACGCTGGGGCATCCACCTCGGGATCGAAAAGGAATACAAGGCGTGGATCGTGTTGGACTACGCGACACACGGAGTCACAAAATCACGTGACTCCATTTTCTACGAGAAGCTGACTCTGCCACTGTTCAAGGAGCACCGCGAAGCTGACAAAGCACAGGGAAGGGTCTTCGAGGGGCATCGCAGCTTCGCCACATCACATGATGGAGCAGACCTGGCGGAAGACGCTGACGCGGCAGACAACACACTCCGACGTTTATACCTGTTCACCAATTCGATCCTGCCGATACACTTCGCGAAGCCCACAATTACAACAGTGAAGTGCGCCGATCGCCGGATGCCGAGTTACCACCACCAAACACCTCGCAAGACACCCTCCGCCTTGGCAATGACAGCGATGACGATGTCGTCGAAGTAACCAGCTTCCACGATTACGATCGCCTGCACTACGAAAAGACCAACAAAACTAGTCTCCGCATTCTCGGGCTCGCTGTAGCTGTTCGCCACACCTCCCCCAAGGAACCCACCACTGTTCGCCAGGCCCTGTCTGCCCCCGACAGTGAGAAGTGGAAGGCAGCCATGGCCGCAGAAGTCGCAGCCCAGAAAAGCCGCAGAACGTGGAAGCTGGTCCTGCGATCATCAGCAAAGGGGAGAAAAATTCTCAGTGGAAAATGGGTCTTCCGCATCAAAACGCTCGCGGGTGGCTCCATTGATAAATACAAGGCGAGATGGGAAGTGCGCGAATTCGAGC